TTCAATCCGTTACTCGTCCCAGTCAAATTTCCAAGGCACTGCAGATGTGCCTCTTCATGTGGCTTCCTTCAAAAATACAGGAATCTTAACCTGGGAATCGTTTAGTGCTCGTTTCTTTGTGCAGCCTATGAGGTGTCTGGCACTCGAAACTGCCCCCGACTCCCCCAATCAATCGGCGGCTGCACCAATCCATTCCCCTCCCGGCAGTTTCCAAGGAAACCGGCGGAGATGCCGACATGGGCTGAATGCAGGGAGAGGAGGCACAAAACCGCTGCTGCAGTGCCTTTTTCAATACTTTGGATGGTAGATTATAAAATGCTAACAAACTAAATTAGTATTGACAGAACCTGCAGCAGAAAAGCAAAGCAGAATGAAAAGCGGGTGATGAAGCACTTCTGGCTGCAGGGATTCGGGACTGTCAGCTGCGTGTGGAGCCCTCCCCTCCCTGGTCAGCCATGGAAAATGAGAGCTGCAGCTCATTAACACAATGAAGACACCTCCCCTGCTTTGTCCCTGGAAATACTTTAGTCGATTTATATTTGTTTGTGGACTGCCTTTATCAGGAGGCACTATAACACACTGATTTTCACAATAGATTTATGCTAGAACTTCTAGTTGTTAGCCCCCCCAAAAAACCCCTCCAGACAAAAAAAGATCAATAGTACTTCAGAATGAAGGAGTCATCAAATTACTCAGTAGAAAAACTCTCCCTCCCCTCTCTTTTCTCATCCCAGCCTGGCATTCAAAGCAGAATATGCACAGGAAAAAGTGTTGGAATTTTTGTTTGGTTTTTCCCCCTTCATGCTGACACCAGAATTTCAGGTCCTAGTTTTTTTTTAAAATTAAAATATCTCAGAAAATCATGATCTTAGCAAACTGAATCTGAGAGCCAAACTGAGCTTCTATTACTGAAAGTTTCAAAGTTGGGCTTTAGGAGCACAGTGGCTCTGTGACAATAGCCCTGGGCATCGTACATACATATATTGGGACCTTTTTCAGTTGTTTTTATTAACAATAAAGGACTCATACCTGATAATGGGCTCTGGTACAGGAATGTTTTCCTCAGAGGCATCTTGTCACAGCTTCTCTAATAGTGAAGTTCTCCTGATCAGAGATTGTCAGAGGCATTTCCTAGTACAAAGCCACATAGTGGGCAGACATCACTTTCCCCAGAATCTGATATGATCCCGAGGCTTGATTTTTCTTGTGAATTCATCAAACCCTGAATCTTTGATCTCCAGAAAAGAGGAATGTTTTCTGCATCAGCAAAAAGCTTTGTCTACAAGGCTGCCTTCTCCAAAAAACCCCCAACCAACCCCACACTCAAAGCCAACAAACACCAAAGCAGAACCCCCCAGCCAACAGACACAAAGCAGACTGCAGTCCCTGCAAGGATCTCTCTGTGCTGCCCGACTATCTGGTCCTGCAGGGCAATTCTTCAGTGCCTCTCCCTGGTCATGTTGACAGGCCTTCACGGAGGTGTTTGATAGTCTTTTCTAAAGTGGGGAGTGACACAAGTTGTTTGATGACGCTTGTGGAACTGACTCTTCAGGCTCACAGATTGGCCTGAGTATTTTGAAATGTATTACAGACTCAAATGATTTGGATAATTGTAGCTGAACTGGTTAGGTTATTAAATGTAGCAACTGTGCAGTAATTGCTAAATATTTTTAAATGCAATAATACTTTTCACATATTGAAAAATTTAATGCTAGCACTCTCTAAGATAACCGAGTATGTAAGCATTACAGTAGATCAGAAGTTGGCAATCAAGTCTTAATTTTAATTACATGTACTTCCTATTAAATCTTACTGTAAGATAAAATGGTTTCAGAACATAACCCAAATTCATTTATATTCTACAACCCATGTGAAAAAATGAAATCAACAGTGAAATCAGCTTCCTACACTATTCAATAAACAGCTTTGTAAATAAAGTGAAGGCCCAGGTTTGAAAGCAAGGTGCAGGCAATGAGACTGCAATAATCTTTGTTTGCACATGCAGACAGGAGAATTACATGCTTAGCCATCTGTCTGCAGAAATAGCAGCTTTTATTCTTTGACTCAGAAAATAGTTTTGAAATTGTACCCTGAAACTTCATAGACTACAATAAAAAGTAAGATTTGTTTTTATAGTCCTCATACCATATAGTTGTAAACAAAAACAACATTTCTTGGAAATAGAAGGATGCGATGCTTCTAGCTTGCCCATTTGCTTTCCATCTTCCCATCTATTCAGACTGCATGGGGCGGGAGAAAGAATGTGTTTATTAAGAATTTGTATGAGAACAGATTGACCCAAATGTCTGTGACCAAAATAGATTATATTAGCTAGAATGGAGTGTGTTGCTTCCATGCAATCAGCAACAGCCTTATGAAAATGTCAACTCTTATATATACATTCTGATGCAGGATAAGTCAAACTCTTTTTCAGCTCTGTAAAATATGTACATTAGAAATACTGAGCTTTGTACTAAGAGCACAGAATATAACCCTCCTAGAAATCCTGCTCTTGCAATCAGGTTCTTTCAGTGCTGAGTCTTATTTATCACTCTAGTAGTTACCAAAATAAACTCCTCAGTTTCAGACAGTCCTTTCAAGTCCTGAACCATTCAGATTAGCAGACAGGCATTTGCCTCCATCAGTAGTGCCCTCTGATAGAGCAGACTGGAGCTCTCCATGTCTGGTCAGATCACCTGATGGGGAGGTCCAGCAGCTCATTCTTGTGGCTTTAGGACAGTGTAGAGTTGCCCTGTAGATTGCAAAGGACAGGAAAAGTCTTTTGCCCTGCAAAGCACTGCAGTGCTTCCATTGCATCTTCCAGATCAGAAGGAAACCCTGGGTACCAAAGACACCAGAACACCAAAGTCTATGAAGATGTTCAATCTGCAATGTGCTGCAACCTGCTCAAAGAAAGACGGTGCAATTTGCTGTATTCCACCTTAATGTTTTTCTTAACCATTTGCCATCTAGGTTTTTGGTTAAATGCATCCCTGTAAGGGCACATGGGAAAGAGAAAGGCCTATTTTAGTCTCAATAAGTTACAACTATTTCTCTTTTATCCAGAATCTTCTAATAATTAGCTAACACAAGAGCTGCAAGTGCTGCAAGTGCTGCAAGATCTGGGTTAGATAAAAAGTTACTGCAGAGTTGAGTGTCATCTTATTAATAGTCATCTCCAGAATGTTTCACAGTGCCACAGAATCATTTGGTAAACCAGTAAATGATCAATCAATTCATGTTAAAAAAACAGAAGAAACCAAATAAGAAGAGATTCTCTTTTGGGCCTAAGCACTCAGAAGCTGCTTACAGAGTGACCAGGGTCACTCCCTATTGCAGTGCAGCATGCAGATTCCCTTTCAGTAGACTCTCCTTCACTCTTTGTTTGCAATTGGTAAACCATTTACAACTCTTCATTTATGTGCAAGTGATCAATATATTATTATTTCTTCTAATAAAGCATTTTGCAAGTCACGACTCTCTTATCAGCTTCTGATTTATATATTTGTATGCAGGAAAAAACCCTGCTGGCTCACTTAGGAACTAGTCAGTGCTGTTGCTTTACGTGCTCACCCTTTACACCTTGCAGTTAGTTCAGCTACATCACTGAAGTTACTTGTTCTTACTTTCTTTTTCTGAATAGATTATCCCAAAGCCTATTGGGAAGAATCTAAGTACATATTGAGTCTACTCACCTGCTTGCAAATTTATGTGCTGCCTTTTCATTAATGATCTTGCAAACAGGATTTCCTTGCTGAAATGCAAGTACCAGCAAGCCATGGATAATGATCTGTGTTTTATATGAAATTATATCTAAAACTCCCTTAATGATTAAAAATAAAGAGACCTCTCTAGCCTGAAAATTCAATATTAAAGTGTTCACGCTAAGGCTATGAATTCCTGTTGTTTATAGGAATTGATTCGTTATAAGAATAGGCACTTAAAAAATGAATAGGTAGTATTGGCCTGAGACCACACCAGTACTCCTACTAATCTTATCCTCCAGTCCTGTCTTCCTTTTTCAGAGTGAAGGTTTGTATTTATGATGGAGCCAGGTATATACTGCACACAGATTTAACATATTCTGTGATGATTTTGGGGCCCTGTTCCATGCATTCAGTTGAATAATATCAAGCAAAACAAATAGTAACATCCACTGGGACTAGAAAAGAAAACCACTGTCCATTCTCCCTCAGTGTTCTGGCTTGTCAGTGGAACAGACTGTATGTGAAGGTGTTTCCCACTGCGTTGGTTTTATGAGTAATCTGCTAAATAAACCCACTCAATTGTTTGGATACTTGTTTTAGGGTAAAAACATTGCAGTGGGGGCTTTACTCCTCCCTAGTCCATACCGCTGTGGAAGCTTAATATACATATTATATAAAAACAAAACAAACCAAAACCAACCAAGCAAACAAAAAGCAAACACCAAGCACTAATTTATGTCTTCCACTCTGTAGGAGTTTGTTACTTAAAAAATACTCTCTCTACAGGAAATAGATATAGTTACTTTGATTTATGATTTTTTAATTTTATAAAATATTAGAATTGGTCTTCAGCCAGGAACATTTAATAGTTTAATTTCTGAAAGAGAGAAAAAGAGAAATGAGAAAAAGGAAAGCTGATGAAAATACTGCAGTTGTGGTTACATTTCTCTCAAAATTAATTACGTTAGTGAAAAGTTATGTGCACAGATGTGTCTAACAGGTCATGCTAACTAATGTCACAAGCAATTTTAATATCCCTGTTGAACAACAGTCTCCAAGGTTGAAATTCCTACTAATTTGAGGATTAGCCTTAAAAATGTATCTCTCTTTCAGTAGCAGAAAACAGAAGTCTGCCTGTAGCTTTAACAGTATTTTCAACTGCCTTTGGGCAGATATTTAAAGATGAAGAAGATACATATGGGATTTACAGAAGTGACTAAGTGAAATTCAGTGGGAAGTAGATACTGCTGTCTAAATTGCCTTTAAATAATTCTGTTAAACATCTGACTGTACCATCAAAGCACCTAAATAGAGCCTTCCTTAGGAAATGCTGCTCTTCTTCAGCACTGCTGGACAACGTGCCCAGCACTTACAGATCTGTTTGTTTGTTTGTTTGTTTGGAAATCATACCAACTTTGAGATGTTAAGAAGCAATGGGTTATTTGGAAATATTATTTGAAGTGACTAAAAAGTCCAGTGTCTTGCAACCCAGGAGCCATATCCCATTGAAGCCTCTCAAATTCAAACCCAGAATGTTCTCAGATTTTACTATATAGCCTTCATTGTACAAAATGAAGTTTTCATTTAACTTCACTACTTTTTAAAAAAATACCTTTTGCAATGATTTGATTACATTCATTTCATCATCACATTCTTGTGATCATGTTTTACCAAATGATGTCCTCAAGGGGAAAAATAGAAGAAAAAAGGAAGAGGTGACACTATCACAACACACATATCTGAGAGCAATTTACTTCTGGGTTTCTTAATTCAGATTCAATTTTAAAACTAATAAGTTATTTAGTTATCATTGGACTTGGGGTTTGTTTTTTTTTTTTTGAAAGAAGAGTATGTATTAGGGCATCTTTCTCATCAGGCTCTGCCCTGGCAGCTGTGACTGGCTGATGGGACACAGACAAGAATGGCTTCTGCATCCCTCCCTCCCTCCCTGCTGCCAGAGCTACATAACCATCACTGCCCTCGTTACTTCTCAGTGCAAAGTCTCTTTCAGCCCATAAAATGATACCGTAAATTGGAACAAAGTATGGGCATGTGCTCCTGTCAGACAGATTTGATGCAGCAGAACCTTTATTTTCCAGCAGTCCCCTTCACCCTGTGCTGTGGGACTGACCTGTGACCAATTACTTTGGGACTTTCTGTCTCCAGCCATGGAGGTCTTGTTTTAGAGCCCAAGGACTAAGGCTGAGATGAAAAGTGCTAAAGAGCCTCTGCTGTGTGTGGTCACTCAACAAGAGTGTCAAAAATATAATCAAGTGTGTTCCCCAGGAGGGTTTACAAGAGAGGTGAATCACTGAGCAATGAGGTGTGATTAACAAGCTCACTAATTCTGCATCAGCAATCCGGTTGATGGATACAAGAACTGGAACTGTAGTTCTGGAACTCTGGAACTGCAATTTTTGTTACATTCCAAGTCCTAAACATAATGGCAGGAGAACTACATGCACCAAACATCTGCAGCTTAACCTTTTTGCATTACTAAAGTAAGAAAACAGACCAGTAGGGGAAGCCTTACCTTATTTTTTCTAAGCAAATTTGGAGATTTTGTAATGATCAGAGAAATCCCATTGAAATCTTGAACAAAACCTTTTTAAGATTATGGAGTTGAGAATTCCAATTTAATTACTTTAGGGATAGTTTTTCATTGAGTTATGATTTATGAAACTTATCCCATGATAACAAATGTATTGATATTTTAATTGAAGTAAAAAGTCTTCAATGAGAAGAAACTTTCTTCTCTTATGCCAAAGTTTTTGGTAGATTTTGATGTGAACAGATGGTTAACTGGCATCTAAGAGATGAATGATATTTAAGTTTGATTTCCACATACAAATAACTGTAAACATTTAGGAAACCGTATTAATAATTTTTGAAGCCTGAAGGCACTCAAAATATTGCTGTTAGTCCCTAGGATATATGAAGACACAACAGTGCTCTAGATGTAAAAGTGAAAGGCTCCTGCAGTCAGGACTGTGTATCTCACACACAAAACAACCCAATTAGTTTTAGTTCCTTTAATGTATAGCATTATGTGCGCAATTTGGAGGGCAAAGTCATGAATTATCAAACAATAGATATTGATTACATTGATAAATAAATTTATGTACAATATTATTTACATTCCCACTTAACTATGCTGTAACTCAGGGGCTCAAGTTCAAGAAAGCTGTTTTGTCTGGTAAGAAAGCAGAAGGCTTTAAGCTTGTTTGCACTAAAAGGAAATAGGAAATTTTGGAATTGACTTCTAAATGGTATATAAAGGGTTAATCCATATTCTCAAAAGAGAAACACTTCTATGGCCTCCAAATCAGGCCATACCCTACTGAACTTTCTAACAACCTTATTTCCTGGAAAATTATTTGCATTATTGGGCTAATAAGTTTGCAAATGGGCTCCTCTACTACACTCTGTTGGAGATGAGAACCCTGAGAAAAGAAGGAATTTTTTAAATAGGTCTAAACTATTATTAATTGTCCAATTATTCATTCCATTGTGATTCAATATGGAAATGTTTCCTTTATTTGCAAGCTGAGTTGTTAGTCTGAATATACATGGCATTAAAAAAAGCACTAAAGATAACCTACAAGTACCTGTCTGGATTTCCTCTTTTCTCGCTCCCTCTCCTTAAGAATTTGGGATTAGACTCTCTATAGAACAGTAAACAGAAGAGGATTAACCTTATCACCTTGTGCATTACCTCAAAAAGAAAAGTAAGAATTAGATCACATATCAGATCCTACATTTTGGCTTGCCAATTACCCTTTCTGAAATTTAAAATTCAAAACCTCTAAAAGCTTTTTAAATACATTTTCCCTGCTTTCTTATAAAAACATATAGCTTGTAGGTTTTCTTATAAACCCCCAGAAAAGCTGTTGACAGATTTGCAAAAGTTACCTGTCACCTAATTATGGAACAATTTACCAATGCTGACCAGCACTTCTGAAGCACTTTGCTTCACCAGCTTCATACCTGCACTGAGTTTCCAAAGATACTGGGTCTAGAGCACTTTTCTGGAAGTAACTGAATGTTTTCTTAAAAAATCCCAACCAAACAGACCTTTTTTGCTTTTTGTGTGGATATTTTGAAGCAGAAGACAATTTTGTTAATTCTAGTGGTTATATTATTGAGTTCCAAACTAAAAGCAGTGCAAACATCCAATGCTTGCTCACTTATCCCAAGGAATTCCCTCTTGGTGAGATAGTCATTGCTTCAGGAATGAGGAGGAGGGAGATCTGTCAGGAGAGCTGGCCTGTGTTGCAAAGGTTTCTGAATTCTAAGCCTTCTTGCATAATGGAGGTCTTCTTTAAATAAAGTTAATCTGAATTGTCAAGTCTCTTTCTGCCCCATTAACGCAGTTTTAGAATTTAAAATCTTTCATTTCCCTCAAGAATAAAATTTCAGTGCCTAGACTGTATTTTCTGACAAAACTCAAATTTATCACTTGCAAGAACTAAGAAGAGCCCACAAGCTTGAGGTACTGAAGCTGAGAAAAATCAGTTTGTGCCTTGTCCTGCCATGGCAGGCCTGGGGACAGTCCCTGGAGGGCAGTGCCACCTCCTTCCCCCCAGCAGATGGAGACAGGAAAACAAGGCAGAGGCAAGGCACAACCTGCACTGTGTTCCGAGGGATCTGCATCTGCCAGAGCCGTGGCCACACCTGGAACACAAGTGTGTCGGTGCTGTGGTTTCTAAGAACACTTTCTGTCCCTCACAGCTCATTCCCTGGGAATGCTCTGGAACTGCACTGGGACCTGAACAAGGCTCGTTCTATCTACACTGTCAGTACTGCAGCCCAGTCCTCTCCCATGCCCTCTGCTACACTCTGGGACACAGACTGTTCTTATTCTCTGTTCAGAAACAGCCAACACTGACTGGGGAGGGATGTTCTTTGGGGCATTTCAGCCACCTCCCACAGATGGGAACATCCAGATGTGCCAGGTGCTTCACAGGGCTGGGGAGAAAGGTGGGGTTTCACTGATGTCAGGATGAACTTTTGATGCAGTACTTGAAGACTAAACCCAAATCACGCCTTTCCTCCCATTTTCCTTCCCAATTGCTACTCATTGAGAATATTTGAATTACTTTCTTTAGTCTCTGGTAAACAGTACTGATGCACTAATTTAAACATGAAGAAAACAGAACAAATACAAACTGCAAGAACAGAAATCTGAGCTAGATAAATAAAAGTAAAACTTCACTGGAAGATTAGTCAAAGATTGGAACAGACTATTCAAAAAGGCTGTCCATCCTTGGAAACACTCAAAACTGAGGTGATTTGAGCTTAGAGCAAATTGATTTGATGTTGAAACTGAATCCAACCTTTGAGTAGGGGACTAAAACAGATTACCACCAGAGGTTCCTTCTAACTAGAATTATTTTATGATTCTGTGAAAGTATGTTGCTTCTTTTCTCATCTCAGATACACCAAAAGACAAGGTAAAAATACCAAATTAGCAAAAGGAATAAGTAAAGCAATTATGTATTTTTAAAAGTTTTTTAGGACATAAGAGAAAATAATCAGAACAAAGAGGACCAAGACCTGAAGATATTTTATTAGGGAAGAAATGTTAGTATTTTTGTCTGTTGATCAAAAGTTACTTGTCAGTCAGTGATAACTGGGATTATTTGATAGTCTTTGGCTGCTGGAATTGACAGACATTCAACAATACTCCCACAGAAAGAATTTTTGACTGAAATTTAGCTGTTAAATCTGCCATTCATTTAAAAAAATATATCATTGAGGAAGGCTGGCATTTACTGTGAGGTATTTGATTAATAATTTTCAAGGCTTCATTAGATGAATGTTACCATGCCAATGAAGGCTGTCATACAGAAGCACCACAGGAGCCACTTGTATTAGGCACTGTAGAAACTGAGACTATCAACAGACTTCTGCAAGCTGAATAACCTAAATCAGTATGGCAAGACCATAAGAGAAAAGAAGGACAAGGAAGGCAGTATCATCATTACCCCTGAGGAAGAAAAGAAGAAGTTTTTTTGCAATGGGTTTTGATATTTGAATTTATGAAAGACAAAAAAATCCAGAACCACAGACATTTTGTGTGTCCCTCTCAGAGAGTTTTCCTGAGATATAGTGAATGCCCAGATAATAAGACATGGCAAGTGGCCACTCTGTCCAGAGCTGCTGTTGTAAGAACTGAAGCCTTATATCAGGTTTAGATCCTGCCTCTCTATTTAGGGGACAATGTGCCTGCTGAGGACTTGGCTCAAAAAAGCTTCCAAAGCCTACAGATGTTCCTCATGGGAAGAAGCCTGAGGTTCTCTGCAGCTGAGACAAAACTTTAAAATTCTCTCAGAATATTTATTTTAATAAAAAGATATGAAAAAGAAGGGTTTTTTTAATAAGCAGAAATTTTCCATCTGGCTATTGCTGTAATTTGTCCTTCATAACAAGTGTGGAATTTTATAGAAAATTGTACATAAAACCAAATTTTAGTAAGACCTGGGCTTTTAGGAGACTCCCATTTTCTTGTCAGCTGTCATTTTCTCATGAGGCAAGATTCATATATGCTAGTTCTTTCTCATGAATCAATGTATTTTCACTTATGTGAACTTAAACATATGTGTTTGTAGGTTCACATTTAATAATATTAAAATTACAATAGTACATGCAACCAAGGACACCACTAATAATTTCAGATTTTGGGGTAGCTAAGCTAAACCAGAAGGCTTCCAAGATGTAAAAGATGAGTGTGCAGAGAGACACTGTCATATAAAGGTGGATGGAACTCACTGGACACAATAAAAGGTGGAAAAAGTCAACAGCATCAGGTAATCTAAAGTTATTGCTGCAGCATTTTTCAAACACTGCTGTTAAAGTAAGTGCTACCTGGGAACAAGTTTAGAGTTTGGTGACAGACAGTTCTAGTCACATAAATTCTGCACAACAGGTTTATCCACTGATCATCAGTTTCCCCCACAGATCTCGAGGCATTTCAGAGGGAACCATTATCCTTCCCCCATAGACTTTAGGAGGCTGAATTTATGTGAGGGACTTAAGGCCACTATGACCCAACACACTGATTAAACTGTGAGGAACAGCATCTGTATCTTATTATCTACAACTGCAATGTTTGCATGCTTAAGATTCAATTAGAAATACCATTCCTGTCAGGAAGAAAGGGCTGACATGTCTAAATGAAAACGGCGTGCTTACAAAAGAATATAAGCATTAAGCATTTTCAAATGCTAGAAATTCTTTTGTGAGAAATGGAGAAAAGGTAGCTATACAAATTGGGGGAAACACATTGAAAGGATACATTAGAGCAAAGAGAAAAAAAAAAATCAGCATATTCACAGAAGCCTGCATGCAAAAAGGAGGACACTGATCTAGAAATAATTATACTGGGAAATAGGATAAAGAGGATAAAAATAGCTGCCATTAAACTGTTATTTTTCTTCCAGTTGTCCTATAACATAATGGTTTTTGTCCACTGCCTAAACTATTTTGTCTTTTATATTTTATGTATATTGGCATATATATGGAAAGATGGAAGAGCTGATTAAGATTATAGGTTTATATGGATCCATATAAATATATTACCTATTATATACAAGGACTAATAAACATAAGAAATAGTGAAGGAAATAGAAACTGTTTCAGTGAACAAATTACATACTTTCGGATGGATTTAATTTGATAGGTTATTTCACTATTATCAAGGTTGAATGAGGCTGTGGAAAGTAGAATTACAAATAGTGAAGCAGGAGGAGATGAATGTGCTGGGAACAGACAGGCACCATCCCATGAAACCATAGGTTTGATAGCAGGCATTCAGATAAACCTGCTAAACTGTGGCTTTGCTCGATGGCAAAATCCACTTCCGTGCCCCTGCTGCAACATTGCCAGTGCCAGGTGACACTGCCCAGCCTGGCACAGCAGCACGTTCCCGGTACACACCCCCATGTTAGTGGTGTTGCTGGAAGAGGCACAGTGCAAGTGCTGCCTTAGGCTCTCCGCGTGGGGAGTCTCAGCCAGCTCTTTCAGACACCCAGAACTCGGGAGCATCTCTGCTCACAGGAGTTCACTGCCAGCCCTCCGTGGGGCTCAGCAGAACCAAGGGCTCTGGCTTACACCTCTCCTTCCACGGCTCTGTACATCACAACCCACGTTCTGGATCAGATTTCATCATCCTTCTCTGGGTTTCTTTATTTGCAAGCTTCCAAACACATCTGTCCATTGTTTATGCCTCAGACAGCAAGCTCCTGTTCATAGCAAGGCATTTGAGATGTAAAAACAGCAAAGTCACTGCAAGTTTTATGTTCTCTGAGAGACTCAACAACTTTTGCTAGAAAAGAAATAAATGCAGCACCTTGGATGCAAATATATAGCGACTTGTTTGCAACATAAAAACCAGATTTTTTGCAGCAGAAGAAATTAATAGTTTAGTGCATAGATTTGATATTCTGAAATACTTGCAAACAGGTAAGAAAAAAATTGAGTATGAAGTACCTCAGAAGGAGATTCACAAAGACAGGCTACATTTTCCAAGACGTTTGGAAAGTTAATCTTTTACAGCACTGTGACTTTGATGGTGTTCAAGTGATGTAAAATAACAAGTGTGGTTCGATATTATTATGACTAATGTGTAGGTTAGGGGAATGTGAAGGCTGAGAGAGATAAAAAGCTGCTAACTCTGCAGGTAAAATCTGTGATAAACGTCATTTGTATTGTTTTCAGTATGTCAGAAAAGTTGAGAATAAAACATTTTTCTAAATCTTTTTACTAATACAGAGCACTAAATGTGCATCTTACTCCTTTCCATAACGCAAACATCTAATCCTTCCTAATAATGTCAAACTGCTGTTGAGAATGAACCTAATTAAGGAACACTTAACTGGCTTATCTCTATCTAAGCAGAGGCAAAGATTCAGGTGTCAGAAGGGGTGTTCTATGCAAGTGGGCCAAATACTCTCCCACATGGGAGGTTAAAGAAATTTCAATATTGTGAAATGAATAACCAAATAATCCAGCAGGAAATACTTTGAGAAATCTTATTTCCTTCCCCCCCCACACTCCTTTTTTTTTTCCCTGAGATGGCAAAGAAGCAGGGGAAACACTGATGGTTATAATTAGATGAAAATTATTTGCCACAATTAAAAGGACAATAAAAATTTTCATTTCAGATATTTATCTCAACAGATTTTGTATAAATGGTATGCAGTATTTAAAAGGTGGTTTAATTTGTGCCTGCCAAGCACTTCCACGAGGCTCCTGCTCACTGTTCAAGTACCAGCTAATAGCATATTCCTAAATGTACCAAAATACAAGCATAACCTTGGAACTCCTGCATTTAAATTATGGATTTCTATTATATAACCATTTGTGAGAGAATATATAAAACAAAGACAAATATAGATGAATTACTTTTTCTAAAGTGCTTAGGTGAGTATCTGCAGGGAAGTGACAAATCCAATCCCTGATCACAGGCAAGGAGTGGGAGCTATAGGGGATAACAGTGGTTATCAGTGCATTCCACAGTTGCTCCAGAGTGAAATAGTAATATGTTTAGTAGAATAAATCATATATTTAAGGCATTCAGGACCTAACATGTATTAATCTTATTCAGAGCTACTACAATAAATGAACACTTCTACATTAGTTTGTTAGGTAACATACAAGCCAAAAACCAGTGAACCATAAGATTCCAAGGGAAAAAATATGGATTCTCTAGTCATGTAAGAAATCATCCAGGTAATAAAGTGGTTTAAGTGACTGAGTAAGAGGCAAACAAGTTACTCCCACTCCCACTTCTGTTGTATTTCAGCCTTGTATAAAAGTACAGAAACAAAACCCACTGAATATTAAATAAGTTCTTTTTTTCACCTTCCCTCAGCTCTAAAATGAGTTGAAGGTTTTTAATCTTACTTTTGGAAGAAAAACCAAGTAGAGAAATATGTCAGAAATAAGTTTATAAGAAAATTCCCTTTATTCCAAAATTATGTGAAAGCAATTAAATTTAACCTTAAGTGTCTATAATAAAACAAACCTCATTAGGTAATAGTTGGTAAAGTCTCATTAAACACACATTTGAAAGTGGGTTTGTTCCTTTAGGCTGATTTCTAAATATGGACTCCTAAAGATATTTGCTCAAGGAAAGACTATTAACCAGCATATTACAACCTCTTAAATAATTTGTCTCATTTATGTATCTTGTGCAGTCTTGCAAATTTTTATCCAGACAGCTTTATCTTTATATCAAAGATAAATATATTGGATGTGTCTGTGCCCTGTCTGTACATCCTCACTGGTCTCCCACCTACAGGATTCAATAGAAACCCATTGAGCCACTATCACAAAACTAACAGAAAGCCAGCAGAGATTTCCTGGCCTTTTTTTCACTGTGCATTTGGACTTAGCATTCTCTCTAGGCAATGTAGAAAAGGACTGACCTCCAAAAAAAGCAGAACTCTTAAGAATCTGTGTTCACTGATTCTTCAAATATGAAGAAGGACGCCGGACTAGAAACCATCTCTCCTCAAACAGCTCCTGTTTCTTGAAAAGAAGGAATCACCCCCACCATTGCAATTATATAATCCCAGGCATTATTATTAGTTAACACTGTTGAACTCACTAAGCTTCACACCAGTTCAGGTGCAGTGAGTCTGTAGTTGCCAGGACCTCCTACCCCAGGTGCTGCTGCTGAAGAAGGGTTTCCTTCTCATTTGGAGCTTGTACCTTCCACCTGTGCTAGAAACACATCCAAACAATCACAGGACTGGTGTGTCCTGGGCTGACAGTCACATATGGAGAAACTTGCTCCTGCTAGGTTAGGACTTGGACACTTGCCAGTGCAGGTGAGATAGCAAAGTTTATGTAAGACTCAGAAAAACAGAGAATATGCAGTAGAACCTGCTACTCCCCTACTCTGTCTGTCCTGAAATAAAGGACGTTATTCCTGATAAATTAACATCAAGCCTCATTCTTTAGTTTTGAATGGCCTCAGCCTTTAGTTTTGAATGGCTCTGTAAAGATTACTTAAATTGAAATAATAATGGATGATTTACACCGAGTTAACATAACCTAGTGAATTAGTTTTTGTTTTCTGTATCTTAACTCCTGAGATATGAGAGAACATGCTCTTTTAGAACAGGTCTGTCTTTGAAACACTTCTGAAACATCATAAGAAAAACGGGAATCTGACTACATAGGTGAGATCATCTGGAGAGCCAGTAAGGTTTCAAAAAGTAAAGCATTCCTTCTTTTATTCACTTACAAAATGACTTGCTGTTGGTGATGGCGCTTAAAAAAAGGTGACTGAAACGTGCAGAAGGACATGATGACACAGCCTGTTAAACAGTATTGCTGTCACTCCCTGACTCCTACCCTCTGCAATTCAGAAGAGGGAACTATTGCTTCCCTCTGTCAGCTACTATTGCAAGGTGGCTGGAATGGCAGGTGGCAAAATTGCCAGCAAAAGAAAAGATCTTTCCGGTGCTGGGACAAGGGAGTTCTGTAGCTGATTCCTGTGTGGTTCCTACCAGGTTTGGTTTGTGGTGTTTCCCCTCTGTAGAGCCAGGAAGGAGCCTATTGGCTTCAGTTTGGTTTAGGCTATTTGTAGATGCCTCAATAAGCGTCTAGAGAGCCCTCAGCTTTCACAGAATGATTCACAAATGATTTCCCAGAAAGCTTTAATCCTTATGACACACATAGAAAGCACCGAGAAAAACAAGAAACCACACAGCCCTTGTATTGATTCATACACGTGATCTCAGCCAGTTCCATCTGTACTTTGAAATGGCATTTATATGCCTGCAGGTAGGTAGGAACAAGCACTAACAACTGAACAGCAGTCTGTCCTGTACCCTTCCAAAATGTTTAATAAAGAATTAGTTTCATTTTCTGCCCAGTAGATCTGCCCAAATCAAGCTTCTTTCCATTACTGATGTATTTGTGCTAGACTACACATAACAATCAAGCTGAGATTTGAAATGTTATGGTTTCTGACTGTTTGGACCTTTGATTTTCCTAGACATAAAAGCAAACTCGGGCTCAGTCTCCTGTGCATAAATGTTTGGGCCTTTAATATGAAAAATCAGGAATGTATGTTTGTATATGTCTTTGCAGGTGCATAACTCAAACTTCTGTGTATCCCTCAGAAAACCCTTTTCCCTGGGTACAGCTCTGTACAGAAAGGAAGGAGCAGGACAAAAGCATCTTTCCATAGTGTGTTCTCTCAGTTTGAGCTGCCTGTGCCAGCTGCCTGTGCTGCCAGGTACCAACAGGACAATCTGGGAGCAGATGACTCATCCCCACTTGGAATTCTCAGTGGCAGGGGGGAGCAGCACAGGCTGCAGTATGTGCACTCATTCCCCCTGAAGATTTTGGAAGGCAGAGGAAATACATTCAAAGGGTAAACAGTGTAACCACTGTCGTTTGAGAGAAAAATGAGCGTGAAGGAATAGCAATCTGGCATGCATTTCTTTTAGACAGAATTGTACAATGATAAAACTATTTTACTTATATTTCTGCCATATATCACCTACAAAATTAATGAATTCATTGGGAAATAAAGCAACTTAAAATAAAAAGCAAACAAACCCTTGAAATTAATTTTCTTTCCCACAAATTAAAGGCAGCTTTAAAAGTTTCTTTATGGTCCTTCAATCATTTAACTTCAAATATCAGAGACTCACGTGCAGTCTTGTAGCCTTTGCACCAAATTTGTCATGTTTCAACTGTAGCAACTTGCCACAGAAACTTCAGACTATTTTAATTTCAAAATTCCTTAGTTTCAAGAAGAAAACAAACACATTTTTCAAGAGGTTTTCAGCAGTTGCAAAACATCTAATTTTCAGCAATGGTATTCCTAAGTGATTGAGAAATATCATCTTTCATCCCAGTGCTAATGATATCCTACAAGGTGATAGAATTAACAGCTGGAAAGTGTAATCTTGCCACCACACTTCTCAATTTGCCATTCACTTATTTCCAGCCTGTTGTCCAGTTCATGCCACTTTCTCAGCAAATTTCCAAATTGTTTGTTTGCTTAAATGCCCAAAGCATATGTTGCTGACAAGCCTTTTATAAGGTAAACATTTTATTATTCTCATGGGAGCTTTGTCTCCCAAGAAACTTCTCTTCTTGTCTTTGTGATCACTATCCCTTTTTAAAGTTTGCTCAGATGTCTTACAAAGTTATGTTTTCCAGCTAATTTTCTCAGCTATGTTTATTTTCAAATTGTTTTGGTAACCACAGACTCATTAGAATTTGATGATTTGATCTTCTCTGATAGAGAAATTTGTGTATTTGATAGTGTGAACATTTCACTTCATAAATAGAAAACAAATACAAGAGTACACAACTCCTTAGCACAAAGAATTTGAAAACTGCTGAGAAAGGGAGTATCTCTCTCTCATTCTTGAAAGTTTCAAATCCACAGAAAGAAAACATTTCCTGAGAGTTCAAGGTAATTTAGATTTAACAGTCTGTCCAAAGCCTATTTGAGCTCATGAAACCATCTAGCTCTGTGACAGACAGTGAAGCCTCTTCTGCTCCTTTACCACGCAAAGGCTACTTTGAACATTTTGGAAGGCAGGCTCCAATCATTTGAATGGCTTAGAGATTTCTTTTTTTGCCTGTCTCTGACTCTTCCTGCAAATTCTTTGAAAAGAATTTGATCATGTCATTTTCCTGCAGGGAATTCCCGACTGAAATCATGGGACTTGTTCAAAGCCTGCAGTCCTGCCCAGGTTTCCTGCTCTGCCATCAGAGGTCTGTGCTGCCATGCTGGGATTGCTGGGCTGGACTCAGGGGTGTGACAAGAAGAGACAGCCAAGGGGTTGCAGAGAACACCCCAGAACAACTGCTGCTGTTCCTGTCCAACAGGCTCCAAAAAGCAGATGTATTCATCTCCCCCAGTCTCCAAGGGAGGGAGGGAGGCAAATTGTATTTCTCTGCCTCATCCCAGTCTCTCAGTTGAACGAGACAGATTGTCTTGTTCATCTTTTTACACAGCAGGGGTCTAATTTGGAACGGGGTGCTATTGGACAAAAGGCAGTTGTCAATTATACGATCAACAACAGAAAATGTGACTTATCTAATTCACAAGAAAGAGAAGTGAAGTAAAAGAAATGAGTGGTTGGTGGCCCCATGTAGCACTGGCCTTTTAATACTCAGGAGATGCTTATTAAAAGATGCTGCTAAAATAAACCCTTTAAGAGAAGACAAATTGGATGTGTGCTATTCAGCTGGGGGATGCTGGTGAGGCATAGAATATGCTTAATTTTATAAACTTATATTCTCTTGCACATTTTGTGAAGGAAATTTGAATAGTCTTACTAATATTTTGCCAAGCCTTCTTTTTCTTTTCATTCAAAAAGGATATTATTCCAGGAAGGCATATAAAGTAAGACACAGAACTCATAGAAATAACTAATGATCCAGTGGGAAAAAAAATCCCTAAACTTTGAAATGCATTTACATATTTAACAATAATGGAAGCATATTTACAAAAATGGGTCTTGCTGGTGTTTACATAGTAAGTACAGTTTTAATAATCTGAGAAAACTGATTCTGAGAAAAGATTCAAATATGTCAGTAAGATCAAACATATTTGAAAAATGGGGGAAAGTTTCAAACTGGTAGATTTTAATCAGTATCAGAGAGAGGAACCCTCTCCCAGGAACCCTCAGAAGGTTCTCATTTGTTGAATTCCCTTTTCTTCTTTTTCCTGTTCCACCTAGTAATTCATACAAGCCTTTGATTTTTTCCCAGATGCAGTGGTATTGTCTGTGAATAAATGCAGATAAATGGTTCTGAGTGTCAGCAAAGAGCCTGAGCTACACTAGCTCACCATGGATTCACAGAGACCTGTGGTATATTCACGCAGCATTTCTAGGGTTTATCAGGAATTCTGGTTCTCAATGTCCAAAGGCAGAGCCAAAACTCTGGCAGTGTGCAGCCAGCCCACCTAAGTAGTTTATATGACACAACAGGGAAAGGGACTCGATCACAGAGGGTATCTTGTACTTTTAATTCCATTCTTATATTCTCTTGCTTTTGTAGCATCACAGTCTCTCTTAAAAACACAAAACTTGAGCACAGAACCCCAGTGTTGGTCTTAATCTGGTCTTACTGCTGAATAAATACATGGTTCTCTTAGTTCTGTTCAAATCCTTACATTCCATTTCCTGAAAATTAAATAGATTTGCTTAGAAACTGCTAACGCAACTGCAGTTTATGCAACAAATTTTTATGAAAACAGTTAATTTGCTTTGGTGTATTATTTGTTCATCTGTATTACCATGAGGAACGAAAATTGACCCAATTTTTTTACAGTGTATCTAGATTACCTAGGTGCTACATCAGTCACTGGCTCTATGAGAAGTAATAAGGCCCAGAAAAAGCCAGAACTGATTGAACTTCTTTTCCTTTAGGGCTGACTATGTTAACACACTTACTGAAGGAGGGGACAGTAATGATCCAGTCACTACTTATCAGGACAAAATTAGTAATGATATATAATCCCAGTGGTTTAAAAGTAAGGAGCTCCAGTTCCAACAAAAGTCCTAGTAATGCCTTGGTTTAAAGTCTGAGTAAAATCTGCATCTGTAACTCTCCAAAACAGCTTAGTATTAAAAAAAAAAAAAAATCCAAAAACAATCCAGAAACCTGAACCAGGACCAACTTTTACTGTTCAATCTTCAAAGTTTAATGTTTGGATACTCAAGACCTCTGTACAGTTCTGAAGAACTGGTGAAGAGGAAAAGTGTTGAGAAAGTTAAAAACCCCAGTATATTGTAGGGCTCCCCCCACAAGTTCTAATGATGCAGAAGCTGCATAATAATCTCCCTGTGAACCATAAACATTATAAAAGCTGAGGCCATTTCTAACATAATCTCTATCAGCAAGATGCCAGCGCTTTTCCAGATTTCCTAACGGGTCCCTGCTAATTCCATGCCAAAACTAGCAGTGGATTTCTTCTTTTTAATCCCCCCTAATGCCTTATTCGATTATTGTCACTGCTCTCCGACCGCGCACTGTCCCTTCAAACCCTAATTCCCGCCCTGGACCAGTCAGAGGAGGCTGGCCGGCAGTGGCGGATCCACGGGACACGCAGGGCCATCCCGCACTCCCCGCCCCGGGCAGGGGCAGCCCAGGCCCCGAGGCTGAGGCACAGCCTGGCCGGAGCCGCAGGGAGGATGAGCTCCAGCTGACGGCTCTGGGGGCACCGAGGCGTCCCCGCACACCCCTGCGGCATGGCTCTGCTCATCGCCTGGGCTTGGGTGGTCGTGAGGTGAGTGACACCGGCCCCTACGGCTCCCTCCGGCCCCGAGGAGCGGGGCCGAGCCCCCCGTCCTGCCCCGGCCCCGGGGCCGAGCCCCCCGTCCTGCCCCGGCCCCGGGGCCCCGCCAAGCGGGAGGGTGATGCGGGACTCGCCTCTCCCCGCAGCGTGGGGAAGGCGCTGGGGGACCAGGGCGACGGGGCGGACCTCTACTCGGAAAACATCACCCGGATCCTCGACAAGTTGTTGGACGGCTACGACAACAGGCTCCGGCCGGGATTTGGAGGTAGCGGGTGCTCCTCTGCCCTCGGAGGGCGGCTGCGAGGAAGGGCGGGCGGGACCCCTCGGGCTCCCAGGAGGGGTCGGGGATGCGGGAGGTCCTTCCGGACCGGGAGGGGGGCGCTGGAACCCCAAAACGGAGCAGGGAACTGCCCAGACCCCCGGCCCCGGCTCTCCCGGAGTGGCTCCGGTGCTGCCCTCGCACCGGACCCGGACCCTCCGCCCCCGGCCCCGCTCCGTGTCCGTGTCCCGGCCCCGCTCCGTGTCCGTGTCCCGGCCCCGCTCCGTGTCCGTGTCCCAGCCCCGCTCCGTGTCCCGCAGGCGCCGTGACCGAAGTGAAAACGGACATCTACGTGACCAGCTTCGGGCCCGTGTCCGACGTGGAGATGGTAAGAGCCCCCTCACCGCGCCTGCTCTCTTTTCTCGGGATTCATTAGGGTGGCATCTGAGTTGACCGTCATTAAAGCAGATTACGAGGCTTAATCTCCTTGACAATCTCTAGGGCCCAGCAGAGCAGTTTGGCCGGAGGTGCATCCAGTTATTTCCCAGCAGCGACAGCCTGGGCTGGGCACGGGCCATGGGTTAAAGATGCCTCGTTAACCCCGTTAAGAAGAGTGTGAGCACCTGTGGCCAATACAATTTGGCAGGAATGCTGCCTGGAAGGAGACAACCTGACGAGCAGCTGCAGGGGAGTGGTGCCATTTCGGAGACAGCTGCCCCTTGCCATGCTAGGTGCCTCCAAATTCAGGGAGCTGCAGACTTTAGTGAACTCTGTCATTCCAGCAGCAGCCCAGGAAAGTGTCCTGGGAGTAAGGATGGCATTGCTGTTCTTAGTGTGGACCTGGATTGCTGTTTTGCCCTTGTATACTCCCTCCAACAGCTGCTCGCTAAGCCTGAATTCCAGTTTGCAGGAAAGGAGCTGTGGGCTGCAAGTACAAGCCAAAGTTTTCCCATGGCTCTTCATCAGTCAGTACAAGAGAAGGCACAACCTTGCATTCTCACAAAACTTGCCCCCAGCAAAGGTTTACCTCCATTTCCTAAGCAACTTCTGCAGAGAGCTCCTTTCTGAAGGTTTGTGAAAATATTACTAAGAATTCTGGAAAAAAAATAACATAGAATAATATTAACTCGACACCATAATCCTACTGTGAAGTGACTCAGATCGCTCTTTTCTTTGTGAATATCCAAAGGAAGCTGCAGAAGAGTCACTGAGCGTGTCTTTTTGTTTCTGGCAATTAAACATTGATAGTTTGGTTTTGCACTTCGAAAGGATACTAAATTAGACATTTGTATTTCCTTAGACCTCAGTCACTTTGAATGAAATCATTATCTCTGAGAGGACAATGAAGTTTTTTTCCTTACTTATACTGAACTACCTGCTCACGGATTCACTTCTACCTATTCTTCAAATAAGAAAATAGGATATGTTTTCATGGATGACTTTTTTTTAGTAACTACTTAATGGTAATAGGATTGAGTGTTTAAGCAGTAAATGAAGTGCCCCTGACATGTGTGTTAGGTTGTATCATGGAGTTACTGTTCATACAGGCACTCAGGCCTGCTGACCCCCACACAGGACTCAACCACCTCTCTGTTCTCCACAGGAATACACTATGGATGTCTTCTTTCGACAAACATGGACTGATGAGAGATTGAAGTTTAGTGGGCCAACTGAAATTTTGAGATTGAACAATTTAATGGTCAGTAAAATTTGGACACCAGACACATTTTTTAGAAACGGAAAAAAATCAATTGCTCATAATATGACAACTCCTAACAAACTTTTTAGAATTATGCAGAATGGAACTATTCTTTACACAATGAGGTGAGAGTCTATTTTTCTGATTTTGGTTGACCTTTATTTTTTATTCTATCAGCAGTGTTCCTGCATACCATTTTTTTTTCATTGTCATCTACTCTAATGTATTCTAGACTAACCATTAATGCTGATTGTCCTATGCGGTTGGTAAACTTCCCTATGGATGGACATGCTTGTCCACTGAAGTTTGGAAGCTGTAAGTTTGTCTGCATCTCTCATTTGGTTTACATGTATGTGAGGAGATCAGAAGTAAGATCCTAAGACATTACTTACATAGCTGAAATTTTTTATAATATCTTTATACCAGAATTTTTCCTCTGAGACTCAGACCATTCATAAGGACATGGACTTATTCACTGAAGGGTGACTGTTGAAGCATATTTTATTGTTTATTATTCTTAAACATCTAGTAGTCAAAGTCAGTCCTTCAGCAAGGAACTATATTATTTATAGTTTTGAAAATATGTAGCAGATCTGTGGTAATCAATTCTGAAAATACTTAGTTGAGCTGTAGTACTCAGTGTATGTGTTTTACAGCAAATTAAGAAACAAAAGCTAGTGCATATCAAGTCCCATTCTCTTATTGTTGAGGGTTTTTTCATTTTGTCATTAATAAGGGTAGGAACTTGCTGGAGCAGCATCCATGCTTTTATGGGCATTTGGGCCACAAAAAGGGATTATTCTACTTATTTTTTCAGTTGCTTAGAAAATACATAATTAGTAATGGTAATTTTTCCTCTGTAACTCAGATGCTTATCCAAAAAGTGAAATAATTTATACCTGGAAAAAAGGACCCCTGCATTCTGTAGAAGTACCACAGGAGTCTTCCAGTCTTCTCCAGTATGACCTCATTGGACAAACTGTATCTAGTGAAACAATTAAATCTAACACAGGTAAGAGGAAGCCATGTGGGAACTACTGACATTATAAAACACATCTTGAAAAAACCTTACAGGGTTTTTCTCATATTGAACCAAATGATTTTAAATATCTTTCGCTATTCAAAAAACTAAAGTCCTTGGATAGACTAACCATTGTCTCTTAAGAGATAGCTTGTCAATACAGCCTCTTTAAACATAGAACTTTTCATGAGATTTAGAATTCCACCTGCCTCCCTGCCCCAATCAAAAAACACATAAAATGAATATTATTCTCCTTTGTTTCCATAAGGTCACTTTACCTCTTTTTTAAGCAGCTTATTTTTATTATCCACTAGGAGGCCTGTAAGTGATTTCCTCAGAACATATTACGTTGGGTTTAAGCCAATAATGTTTACTCATATGTTGCCAAAATAATGCTGACATACTTGTCTCTTAACAGGTGAATATGTAATCATGACAGTTTATTTCCACTTGCAAAGGAAGATGGGCTACTTCATGATACAGATTTACACTCCATGCATTATGACAGTCATTCTTTCTCAGGTGTCTTTCTGGATTAACAAGGAGTCTGTTCCAGCCAGGACAGTTTTTGGTATGCTGCATTAAGGTCTTTGAACAGCTCAGCATCACATGTACCATTCATTCATTCCTTTCATTGCTTGTTTGTTTTAGGTGAATATTCCCTTCAGCTGCTCTATTTCCATCTTCAAAGAAAAATAGGCTACTATCTCATTCAGACATACATTCCATGCATCATGACTGTAGTCCTGTCTCAAGTTGTGTTTTGGATCAACAAAGAATCTGTTCCAGCAAGAACCGTGGCTGGTATTTGTGTTTTGTTCTTTTGTCATTCATTTCATTCGCTGTATCGAATCCTTTGTATCAGTCAGATACTGTAGTCCAGTAAGGATTGTGAAATGCAGCTGGTAGGTTTCAGTGAACGAAAGTAAATACTAAAATTAAACTAAATAATATTCAATCTGTCCATGAGGGTCAAAATTCTTTACTCAGAATGCTTGATTAGCCAGACTTGTTTGTGATGCTTTTCAATATATTTTTTTATGCAGGAAGGGACAATTTCAGAACAAATGTCAACCTCTCCATTTTTTAAAGAGGAATTTTTTTTCTATGAATCTTATCATTTTGTGAAACCAGTATGAGTTAAAACTTTAAAAGAAAAAAAAAAATCACATGGAATGGAATTGTTCTCCTCTGACGTAAGGTAACTCATCTAGCAGTCATTCTGGAGTGCTCTCTGCCCTTGGCTACACAAGTATCTAAAGGACCAGAAGGGCTCTCAATGGCTGCAGTTCAGTGACAGGAATAACGGGCGCTGGAGCACGTGCATCCTGCATGGCAGGGCTCTTGATTCTTTCCAGTGGTTTGAATTAAAGCTGTGAGTCTCCCTCATTTTTAGTGTGGGCTCTGCTATTAAATCTGACAGCCTCCCCCCCTTCAATACTGATCTGCTCTGAAACTGCATTCATTAGTAAGGGGCACACTTTCACTCACAGCTGCTGTTTCTATTAAAAAAAAAAAGCTAAACAAAAATAATAAAACTTGTCAAAAACTTCATGAATACACTACCCCTATGTACATATTTTTCAACCCTATTTTCTATTAAACCAGTATTTCTATGCAAAAGGTCTCTTTGTGAGACTTGTTTCAGTAACAAAAAACATCAGTTAGTTCTCTAAGCATAAATGATGCAAGTCTCATAATTCAAAATGAATCTATAATTGTACTTAGCAGGTTACAGGATTTGTATAATTTGATTTCAGTCAGTTGGAATTTCCTGCCAGCATGGAAATGATATTCATAAAAACATTGCAAACTTTTTGGAAGGCTAAGTGAACACAACTTCTTCAGGTGCCTCTGAAGAAAGATCAACACTTTTGTTCTTGAAATTCCCATTGGGCATTAGGATGCAGTTTGGCATCATTAGGCACTTACAGGTCTTATTTTCTGCCAGTTGGGGGATTTTTTGAAGAGCTTACAATAATAAAATATTGGGCAATAGATTTTCAAGAATGTTTCTGATTTGGCTTTGTACTGCATCTCTGGACTCTACAGTTGCATTCTGTACATTTTTAGTAAAATATATTTGCCACGTGGTGGGCAGTGGAAGTCAATTCCATATGCTTGAACTAATGTGCAAATAAGTCTGTAGCTGATTTGATAATTATTACATAAAGACTCGAAAACCTGGAATAGCAGTTTTTACATTTCATAGTGAAGTGTAAATAAGTAAATATGGACTTAGAAAATATTTTCTGAAAATAGTAAAATTTTATCAGTATTGTGGAAAATAGTCACAATGGCATTTTAAAAGAATATTTGAATCCTTATTCCATTTGTGGTTCTCCCAGGAGCAATCTGAATTTCTAGTCCTTACTCATTCAAAATCCCATGGATTCTGAATACATTCATCTAAGGAAAAGAGGGCAGATTCCTTTTGACAAAAAAGATTTTCAGTCTTTTTCAGGAAAAAAGGAAAAGTTTAGGATGGAGAAGGTTTAAAATGCATCATGTTGCAAACACTTGAAATACAAATTTTCATTTTTACTCATAAGTTCCTAAACTACATTTGAGAGAAATTAACAGTAGAATAACAGTGATGTGACCCAACCACTTTCTCAGAACAAAATAATTTAGCAGCTCTATTTACCTCTAAAATGGATGGCAGTTATCAGATTTCAGTGTTTGCATTATGTAACAGATTCTTCAAAATTTACCAAGAAGTGTTCAAAGTGTAAAGAGAAGGGTAAACAATCATCAGTTGCAGAGTTTACCAACTGCAATTTGGTATTCAGTTTGATAAAGTAGTTTTCCACAGTGCAGAGCCTGTCATCAATATTCAGTCCACATTGAGAGAATTCTTATCTAGATCTGTGATAGGAGATCTATTCCTAAGTTAAATTCCTGCTGCAGTAAGTTTTATTCAGACACACAGTATATAAATTTTATTACTAACTAGCACATGGACAAATTCTAATCTAATCACACATCATATTGAAAAGTTCAGTCTGGACTTCTGAAATTAAAATACAACTCAGCACACTTGTATTGATATCATAGAATGAGTCTGGAAGATTGGGGAGAAGTAGAGATCCTACTTATTTTTATGCTATCTCCCCTTTATGTTTCATTAAAGCATGTTAAGTAATGACATTGGGACACAGCTCACCTCAGACAGCTGGCAAGCTACATCCTGTGAAAGAGTTGCAGAAAAAACTCTGAAAATACTAATTCTGGATGCTGCAATATGCTATGACACTGCATCCTTTCCACTGAGCATCATCCATAGCATATTGATTCATCATCACAACATGACATTATAACATCTTTTACTTTCCCACCTACCGTTTCCCAACTGCAGAAAAGAGCAGAAGGGGATATTCTCCACCTTACAGTCTTAAATACCCACCGTTTTCATATTCTAGCAGGCATAATTATAAATAAATATGAGTCAGGGAGGCTTGTATGTTAATGAATGAGTTTGTTCTTGCATTTTTGCCTGTATCAGGCAGCAGTGGGAAGTAGGTATATTTCCTACATTATTAATGCTGTACACTCCAAAGCAGAAAGAATAAATTCATGAATTCCTGTGAAGAACACCATGGGGCCCATGAGCTACATGACCAGATTTGTTGTGTGAAAATAGATAAGCAGCTCTAGAGAAGTAGCTTTTCTGTCCTTCCATATCCGTAACTACAGGGATTTCAAATCATGATACTGTTAGCAAATCTTAAAAAACATATCCAGTGATTAAAGACAACAGCTCAGGGGACCAAACTGCAATTACTTGAAATATTTGGATCAGAGGCTCCAACTGTTTTCAATTCAGAATTTGATTGATTCAGTGAGGGTTCTGTAAGCCATGATCCATCTTGTACAACGACAAGAGAAAGAGAGGATCACTGCTGGGGAATGACAGGATGTGAATCTGAATTTCTGTGAAACATTCCACTTACCAACCCCTCAAGGACAGAATCCTCCGTATTTTGAGCCTGAGTTTTGTTATAGCCATGTTTATCACAATTCTAAGAAGCTGCACAGTGTAGAATGTCGTTATCTTAACTTTCAGTCTGCTTGATGTATTAAAGAAGTTTGTTCAGAGCTTTCAGATGCTGAAGACAGTATGGATGAGTTATTTAAGAATACAAAATACTTGGCAGTCTTTGTTAGTTTGTTAGTACATAGGATTACAGCTAAAACAATAAAGGTGTGTTTGTTTGGGGTTTTTTGCATATACAGGAATTTAAGAGTAGCAGAGCTGAAGCAAAGTTCTAATGCCCCCCTTTTTTTTCCTCTTATTTTTAAGGAATCACTACAGTTCTAACAATGACCACTCTCAGCATCAGTGCACGTCATTCTTTGCCCAAGGTGTCCTATGCCACTGCCATGGATTGGTTCATCGCTGTGTGTTTTGCCTTTGTTTTCTCTGCACTTATTGAGTTTGCAGCTGTCAACTACTTCACCAACCTTCAGACTCAGAGAGCAATGAGGAAGGCAGCCAGGGCAGCAGCACTGGCAGCAGCACTATCAGCAGCAACTGTACCGGCAGAGGACGAGATTGTCTCGGTAATTGCTTGCTTTTCTGATAATAAGCATCATATAGGAAGAGGCAGCTGAAGTAGGGAACACAAAACAATATTAAAGTGATCTTAACATGAAACAGATTATGTAACCAGGTCATGTCTGTTTGTCACAGACATTGTTCTTATTCAAGAAAATGGAAAGTCTTAAGTTATTCATACTGTTTATTTAAATCTGATATATGATTTACTAGAGATGCTTATTTGGTAAGATACTTAAGGAAAGTCGTTAAACTATTATCCATAATACTTCTCTTGAGCAATGCTGTAGGCAGTGTGTGGTCAGGCAGGTGGGGTTCTCAGAAAGTCTGCAGAATTTGTAGGACAGTGTACAGTAGCAGGAACATGTGCCTGGGCCAGATGATTATGGGATCACTGTCATACACGGTACATACCATAAGTGGGTCATCTGGAAGATGGGTAATTAGCTTTTACATAAACTTGGCATCTGTTACTTCTATAAAAATCTGTGTTGGTGGAAGCTGGGGGAAAAAAGCATAAATTAAGGATAGATTTTAGAACATGCGAAAGACAGGAAGTCTTTCTAGTATCAAAAAAAGTATGTCAGAATTGCTTGTAAATATTATTCCTTACATCTCAGGCTAAGTAATGAATACTGCCTCTCAACATATGTCAATATATGTCAACCCCTGTAGCCCTCCTGTTTCAAAATCAGTTTTACTACCACAACAATTTCCGTTTTTAGAGGAATAACAGAATTTGAATGACCTTTTGAAAAAACCTCTGAGTCTGTAATGAATAAGGAAGTCAATCCAAGAGGTGCCCATATCAGGACAACACTTTACTCACCATTTCATAATATTTCCACATTTTCTTGTAAACAGCAGTTAAAGTTATAAGATTTAGGTACATTCAGACCACTAAACTCAGAATTGATAAGTTCCAAATAACAGCAAAACCAGAGCTCCATAGCATCTTGCTGCTGGTGCTCATTAGAACAAATGCTCTTCACTTCAACAGGGAATCATTATGCTTGTCAACCATGTTGTATTTTGCTTATAATGGTATTAATACTGAACAGAAATTAGGATATTATAAGCTATAAGAAAGAAATTAATTTTATTTTCATTAAATATATGAATACAAAAAGGAAAAAAGAAAATCTTTATATATTTTAATAAAAAATATTTTAAAATACTGTGAAGCACCCTCCTTCCACCTTCAATCTAGTTAATTTTATTTAAAATATTTCTTTATTCAAATATACAAAATTTTTCACACAGTAGTCAAAAAGCCTGTACGCTCAGGAAAGAAAGATGTCAGAAGCCCAAACTGTGCTCTCCTGTACTCATGAAAGCAGGAGCAGCTCTGGTGCAACGGCTGACCTGTGGTGGTTTGTAGGAGGGACAGTGGTCTGGCTGAGATCATCTAAGTGCTCACAGCCCAGCAGGCCTGGTCTGGCTCCAGGAAAGCCTCTCTATTTACCTCAGTTAACTGAGAATTTGGCTTGCTCTCCTTGTCAGCTGCAGGCAGTCCCTGTGTGAAACACAAAACTAGGGGTGTTCCACTGCAAAACTCGATGGCAACAAGCTGAGGAGTCATCTGGACCCTGACACAAACCTGTGTTTATTCACATGGTGAATGCTTGTTTTAGCATGTCAGACCTGAACCTGTCATATATAGGTATAAAACCCTTTTCATCCATTTCAAATGTAAATTTTCTGTTTCAATCTTATGGTTTCACCATTATGGTTTTCTTTATGCAGGAAGATCTCGATACTGGAAGCTGCAGGGGAAGGGAATCGGTGACACTTTCTGGAGTGCACTGTTTGGAGTAATGCTTTGGGAGGTGGTCAGGGAATGCACCCTATGGATCAAAAGACATCCTTTCCATGTGAGAGACTACATTTAAAAGATAAAAATTACCACCCTGGAACAGCTTGATTCCCAGTTATTTTCTGAAAGACCTCGTTTTGACAGAAAGCAGCACAGAGCTCTGGGAGAGCTTCCTTCTCCTCACAGCCCTGTCCCTGTGGCTTGGGCACAAAAGGATTCTCATTTTCCTTAAGAACCCTGGCCAACTGCAGAGCAGCCGTATGTCACTGGTGTGGAGGATTTAGAGTTCCTTAATTACATCAGAATATATTGAGTATGTTTGATGAGTATCCTAGTATAACTGAAGGGAGAGAGTTTCTTTTTGGATTATCAAGCACCCTTTATGAGATCATCTTAGAAACAGCTACATGCATTAAAGTCTTGGCTGAGAACATGGCATTTTCCATCAAATTAGGAGACCTTCCTGCTCCTTCACAATTATCAGATCATCAGGTAGACTGTTAAAAACAAACAGCAACTTTCAATTATATCGACTTTTTGTCATCCCAGCAAAAAAAGTAGATGCTGATTATTTGGTTCTGCCTGAGATAAATATTTGTCTTTGACAAAGCCAGTGCAGGGCAGTAAGGGAGATTTAGAAGTAGCTGATATGACAGACCAAAATAGGAAAAAAAAAAGATTAATTTGATTTCAACATTTTTTTTGTTCAACACTGAAGTCTTTGGTGCTGTTTGTGTAATTCTGTCTCATTCAGACCCTTGAAGTAGTTTCTCTAAGCTGCAGAAATTTTGCAAAGTAAAGGTAGAGACAGGGATTGTTTTGCACAGACACTGATGGATTTAAGAGCCAAATGTGACTCCGAACATTTAAATCTGTTTAACAGAAAAATACATTTTGACAGCAGAGAGGCTGTAGCAGAGTATGCTGTAAGTGAATGTTAGGAAGAGACTCTAGCACAGCACATCCCACTGCAAAGAGGGGGACGATTGCCCCAGTCTCTGTTCTCCTTCACGCGCACCTGCTTTATATGACAGCAATTTTAATCCAGTGGGCATGGGATATTTTTTGAAGTTATGTTTTCTGCCTCTGCTCTGCATGGAAAACCCCTAGATTTTCTGACTGTATACTCCTAGATTTTCCATGCAAAGTAAATTGCATTGAAGTAATAAGGTAACAGCCTCTCTGCCTAATCACCTTTACGTGGTGGTTAGGCTAGTTGTGAGAAAGGTGAAATCCAGGCCCTGAAGATTAAGAAAGAAGTCAGTTTTCCCATGCTCCAAGTGAGTTATTTAACCTAAGTAATTTAACCCTTTTACTAGGGTAAAATATGATGAAAACCAACCTGCATGTTATTCCTCACAATATTTCTAACAAAGGGAACTTAAATTTCCTAAAGAGATGCCTAAAGCTAGGGCTGTTAATGACTTCTAAGCTATAGTCAGCTTTTAATTATGCAGGACATTGTTTATAGAAGTTTGCAATACATATCCTTTGAATCAGATCCCACAGATGGGATATGCAAAGAAATGTCTAAATGCTGAGTTATAATGATTGTCTGTCATGAGGTGGATTGTGAAACTGCACAGGACTGTAAAGAATGAGGTACCTCAGTGCACGGCCAAAAGATGGTACATAATGTGATGGACTTTCCTGCTGCGAGATGCTGCACATGGATTGTTCAATAGCTGAGCAGTTTTTACAGATCCCACTGTTGGATGTAGGGGCTAATCCATGTTATCTCCCTCTTTGGGATCTGAGTCATTAGCATGTGCTGTTATGTGTGTAATATGAATGTTTGAAGTTGCTCAAACTGTATCTACTAATGAGCAGAGACAAAGAATATTATGTATTTAATTTAGCATTCTGCCTTTTACAGGCATTGAGTTTTGGTTCTAGGTTGGTTTTTCTGTATATGTGTTTTGTGACATCAGCAAAGTTCAGTATCTTTAATCCAATAAATTATAAAGAAAAAGAAAAGTAACACCTTATTTTTATCTAAACATTTAGAGTATATTTTACTGCATTGTTGCCAAGAAAGAGAGATGTGAGTGACTAAAAAAGAGACAAGTAAGGACATAGAGATATTAATTTGTTTAAAGTTATTCAGTAGCTGAGTTGCATATTTAAGATACTGTTACTGTTAGGTCATAAACTAAACTGATAGTGAAAATATGTATTTGCATTACAAAGCAACAGAGAAGAGCCTAGAATTCTACAAATATGAATTACAGAAATCTCTTGAGGGAAAGAAACATAAGAACAGAGTGCATTTATAAATCACAGTTACCATCCACATGAAAATCAGAGAAAGCAGACAAAGAATTCTGTTTATTCCTTGGTTATATATGATGTATTTTTTGAAATCTGGAAGCCAAGAAATTTGCTGAAAGCCTCCTGAGATATTCTAAGCATAAGCAAATTCTAGTGATATTGAGGAGAGTTGTGAGAGAGCAGCATCTTTATGGACAAGATGAGTGCTTTGTGGGCTTTCCAGGGGATGAGACTGCTTAGCTGCAAAAGTTTAATAGAAGGCAGACTCTACCTTACAGGTCACATACCAGTCTTTGTCTAGTCCAGTGTTCTGGTATCTCACATTAAACAAGGAACTGGCAATCTGTTCTGTGTCACTGGGTAGGCAGAGATAGTGGCAAGTTTAATTGCCTGATGGGACCAACATTTCATATGAGTGCAAAAGCACTCCTCTGCATCAGGGTTCAGTAACTTCATAAAATCAGTTACTTCATTATGACACAGTGTGCCACTCCTCAGGCTCCCTGTAAAACACTCCTTACTTTCTGAGTGATTGGCTCTGGGAACTATGCAAAAGAAGCTGTTCGTTGCCATTTTCTCTGTGTTCTGGTAATGTTTCAGGATGTTATTGTGGGTAACCTTTGTCAAAAGGAGAAGTTAAATCTAAATATAGTAGACAAACTACTGTAGCTGGTGTTCAGAACTCAACTGCAGTGAATTCCAGTGAAATACATAAGTTGTGGTTCTGGGGCAGCAAGTCTGGTCTAGAGTCAGCAACCATTCTGAGACACATCTTCATTACACATGGGAGAGAAATTTGGACATAGAATTCCATATCCTGCAAAGTGGTACATAAGAAAATATACGTGACCCTGAGTTGCTGTATGAGGACACAAGAGTGTTAAAGATAGTGTAAAGAACTACTTAGCCTTTTTCTTGAGATGGAATCACATTCAGATAATCCTCCTTTTATAGCAATCCTCCTTCTATAACAATAAGATTTAATAAATATAAATAAAATACCAACCAGGATTACACTTTTCCAAGAGCCTATTCAAATGATCACAAAGATTTTACTAGCTCCACATTCGAAATAGGCTCAGTAATGAACATCATCCACAGACAAACCATGTGCTACATGTTCTGCTTACTATTAACTCCATCACTGCAGCACAACAATTACTGATTCATGCTTGAATGATCCAGAGCAGAATTTGACCCACCTTATACCACAATATTATAGGGCTAAAAGGGCTAAAATTCACTTTAACACATTTTTTGGAACCACTTATTCTCCACAAAAGTCAAGTTACTCCACAGTAAAGTAAAACCAAAGATACCTCCCAACTTGTCCAGTTCAGTTCAAAGCAGGGCATACAGGTAACCAGAACAGCAACTTGAATGGAAGCAGCAAGGCAGGCTCAGTGAGTCTGTTTATAGCGAGGGATTATTATTATGATTAGCGCAAGTGGACATGGATAACCCTCTTTCTGTTTCTGTGACACATCTGGAGATCATCCCCCATTTAAATCTGTCTGTTTCTTGCTGTGTTACTGGAAAATACAAAACCAAACATCTGTGTTCTAGATAGGCACAGCCCCAGAACAGGAATGCTCTTTAATACCCATTCAAAACATGACAACACCCATAGAATGCACAGAGGGCAACTTGGAAGTGGTGATGGGTTGTAGGGGAAGATAAAGGCAATGGGTAAGAAAAATGTATACAGAAAAAGTACCTTTTTTTTTTTTTTCCAAATAAAATGTTGTTCTCTTTTTATTTAGACTAAAATCAACTGTGAGGAATCCATCTCTCCCTAATTTTAGTTGGATACGAGTCCATTCATCCATGAGCAGAACTCATACTGTAGCAATGTCCCCTGTTCTGATTCTCTGGCAGTAACACTGACTGCTGAAAGGATAATTCCTGTTATAACTATACTTTAAGTCATCCAGGGGACACCAGGTGTGTTAGGCTAGTCTGTTATCTAGAAATTGTGGCCCAAGTACAAGGGTAGGCAATGTATTTCAGAAAATGCTGCTTTTCCCTTCAGTGACCTGGTCATTTATCTGATTGCCCAAAATCTGTTCCCATGCTTAGAAATCCTGCAAGATAAATCCCAGAAATGCTGACAGTGGGCTACATATGGGTGAATGGTTGTCATTAAATCACTCCCAAGGAATGCCTTTGGACATTGCATATCTAGCAGCACTTTTCTACCTTAAAACCATTCAAATGTTACCCTTCCATTTTACTATAGATGTCTATGCTGTTATATTGCCAGTTATTTACATCATCTAAGACTTCCCTCACCCGCTTCAGTCACTTGGCCATCAAGTTCTGCTGACCAAAAAAGCTACTTATCTAACCCAAGAATATCTATTTTTCTTGTGTGATTTTTCATCAATAATCTGGGAATTTATTTTTTCAGTTCTTTATTGACAAAGATTTAGGCTCAAGCTCAACTAAAATGTTGTATGTTAGCATTGCTTTTTAGAGTCCAAACTATTTCTATTGCTTTGTATTAGCAGAACACCACAGTACCTCATAGAAACAACAAAAACCAACTCAACATTCTTGGTATTCTTCTGTATTTTCTCAACCATCAGATGAATCTTTTGGCTGCTTCCACACACCCACTAATGGCAGTCCTGGGATATGGCAGTAGCAGCAAGATTTTTGAAATTTTTCTCCTATTTGACACTTCTGTGAAAGTGGGCAATTGATATCCATTAGGGCAAGCTTGGAGCCTGTGGTAGATCCTGTTCCTAAGCCATTTCTGCAAGGAAGAAATCTATTACTTCTACTCTTGTGAAAGTAAAATGATGGCAACTTGGCCACAAAAAACCCCAGATGTACATAATGAATATACTTGTGAGCCTAGTAACTAAGAGGTAAGCTCTAAATGTTCCTGAGTTCTGGCTGAATTTTCATAGGAGTTTTCTTACAGCTTTCTAAGAATAATTGGACCTGGCTATGAATATGGCACAAAATATAGGAGTCATTTCATTTCATTTTACCATAAATGAAAATAAAAATTGCCCTATTACAGTTAAGTACATTTGTCTTCAGTTGAATGCATGGCAATGCTGTGGGAATCACAAGATATGTTGAAAAGGAAATTTCATCCTAGAAAAAAACAACATGACAATTTAACATCCATCTCTTCAGCACCTGTAAAGTTACTCCATTGCCTTTTGTGCAGCAATTTTGTAGCTCTTGTGTGACAGCTGGACTTCATTCAGTGAGTGTTTACTGAACTCACTCCAGGGTTCACACAGGGAAGAGTGTGCTTGAGCAAGCCATATATGCTATCTTGTTTAAACTTCATCCATATCTACATAAACTTCAGTCATACCAATATATTGCAGTTTAGATGCATCATTACCTTCCTTTCCATTTAGCTCCATCCTTTCTTTTTCTCTCTTGTAGCTTCCATTTATTACCATGTTAAAAATATGAAAAGCACATATCCTGTCCTGTTTTTTCAGCGAAGCCTTAGGCCTCAAACATACCTCTGTGTATTTGCTGTATTTTTGTGATTTCCTTAGGTCGCACTAGAGCAAAGAAGCAACGATAAAATCAGAAAGTTGAGTAAAAAGATGGAAAGAAGCCTAATGATCAGAAAACCTAAGACCCTGTATCTAAAAATCACGCTGTTTTTTGTCTCCCCTCTTTCTTTTCTTCCACAGCATTCTGACTCCAACTCTAACCTGAAGAAGCGAGTAAACTCTGTAACATGTCAGGCAGATCAGTCTCCTGAACCCAGCATAATATCAAACAGTGCATCCCAGTGCCAACCCTTGTCTGTTCCTCCACCAGCCCCACCACAACCACCAGCTATTGGAGGCGCAAGTAAAATAGACCAGTATTCCAGAATCCTCTTTCCAGTGGCATTTGCAGGATTCAACCTGGTGTACTGGGTTGTTTATCTTTCAAAAGACACCATGGAAGTGAGTAGTAAATTTTCTGAGTACTTGTTTTTGTAATATATGTTTACTTGGCTAATGCTATTTCAACTATTCATTTACTCTTGCAACTCCAGGTAATCAGTCCTTTCTGAGGAATCCTAGAATGTTTTCTGTGAAAAAGCAGCTGTGCACTGGACTCAGCTGTGGCCCTCAGTACCATGCAGAGAGGCTGTTTGAGGAGAGGAAATGCAAACCCTTATCTCTCAGCCATGCTGCACTGAGCAGAACATGCTGTGGAAGACAATGTGCGATGTCATTCTTGGCAAACAAATTAATCTGAAATCTTCTATTTCTTTACCTACATGCAGTAAGGAATGGTAGAATTATCTTTTGAAGCAATGCAGTGAAGGAGATAAGAACTTTAATATCCTAAGGTTTTCTCAGTGAGGTAGTACAGTAAGTTTTTTATTCATAGTCTGAAGGATTAATAACTGCAGTATAAACTTTGTGAGCCAAGAATCCCTGTTTTTTTTTCATATAACTGCACTGTTTTATGCAGATAAAACTGTTAAATTCTTTGCTTAAGTTTGTTTGAATCAGGCAGAGAGAGATATCCATGAGGTCCAGAAGAGATGTGTGCCCTGCAAATTGGGCATGTCTAGAATAATCAGTGAGTGATTAGTCATTAAGTCTTTAATGCTTTAAATCTCTAATTTTTCCCTTTTTGCCTAAACACAGTTAATGGTTTCTCATTTCCTTTGGAAAAAATACATTCATTTGCCTCGTTGCCATAGAGTTTTTGGATCTCCCTGTACATTGCAGTCAATATGATTGGTACATTTTGCTTTATTTAGGACAGTTAGAGAGATAATGAGGGTATTTAGATAGCACTGAATGCACAAAGTCCCTACATCAATAAAAACAGAGGCTGGAGAGATCTGGAGTGAGTGCTGATTGGGCTGTACCCTCACCTCCTAGATTAGAGGTAAAGCAGGCTGAGAGAAATCTCCCAGACAGTCAAGAGATGTTGCAGTTCAAAGGAAGACAGTGCTGATCAGGTGATTGGGGGCACGTTGTCTCTGCCTGAAGCAGAGGCTCCCAGCCTCTACTTTTGCTGATTGTTGCCCCAGTATGATGTGGGAAATGCTGTCTCTCCAAGATGCTGCCAAGCAGCTCTATGGAATCAGGAGGGCGGGGAGGTGGGAGGCACTGCCTCTTCCAAACCTTCCCGCAGATGTCTCTCTCAAGAGGCCACAGCTGCCAACTCCTGGCCACTCCAAACGTGGCCAGTGATAAATTCAGCCTTTCTGCCAGAGTTACTGATCCTGCTGTTAAAATACTGACTGTGTGTGCAAACTGCTGATGTCAGAGCAGGGAAGGAGTGAAGAGCTCATGTCCAACCTTTCCAGCTCCTGTTCAGGGGTTGGCTGCTCAGCTTGCGTAGCCTGCTCTCCAGGGATTTCGTTCAGCCATTCACACTTTGCATCTAGAAATATTTGGAACATAGTTGCCATTTCCCCTGGTGGTGATGAAATATTTACACTAAACCTCGTATATTAATAGTTACATTAGGACTAGGCTTTTAAAATACTTGAAAAGTCTAGGACAAAGTGCTGACTATAAATATTTTTTAAATGCTACTTTGCAAGCTCAAAAATGTGCTCAGAAGCTTAGAAATTATGTACTGTAGTAGCATCATAGAAAGACAAATCCAGCAGCAACATTTAGAATAGAGAGAAGTACTGACAGCTGGGGTGTTTGGAATTATGAAGAATGTAAACAATTGTGTAAAATGTTGATCAAGCTCTTCTTTGGAAATTACATTTTCCTGTTTATGTACTCATTTGTAACTAATAATGATTGTGATATACGCTGCTAGGTTTCTAATTCACTATGTTGTATCACTTTACTAGTTGTTACTTTCAAGGAAAAATACGATTGCTTTTGCTTTAAAAATATATTAAAAATATGTAAGCCTTTCTAGTCAAGCAGAGGAGATACAAAAGTTAGATGTACTATTTTAAGCCTGCTGCAAGTCAGAAATCACATCGGCTTGTTGGTTTACTCAGTTTTTGGTAACAACTGTTAACAAGCCATAACTTAACCTTCTCTCTAAACTTGTCTTCCAGTTTTTTGAACCTTCTGCAATGCATTTTCGAAATGACCCTCAGTCCAACTGAAGAACTCAAGACTTCAAGGAAATCCCTTGAGGCCACATAGGGCTGAAGAGATGTTTAAAGGATTTGTCTGTCTGTCCACAGGTGCTTTCTGTTTTCAAACAGGGAATATTTCTATTGGACATCACCTGGATGCAAACTCTGGACAAATCAAGAGCTGTTTAGTGTTCCAGCAATACTTTCTTAAGATTTCTTATAGTGATTCTACTATAGAAGTTCTGCTTAAATTATTTGGTTTGATTGTCAAAAGAAAGAACATGAATTTGTTCTAAAACTGTTGCAAACAACTGAACGATTATATCGACATAAAATATCAATAAAAGGATTTTTAAAAAAAATATAGAATAAGGATTGCTAAAAGCAGCCTGATTCTGAAATGATTGGCAGTTGCACTGATTTCCATCACTTGATAGTGACCCAAAATACTGTTGGAAAGAAATCCCATGAAAAGGAGCTGCAGTTCCATAATGTTTTAATCTTTTGATATAAAATATTAATGATTATTTATTTTTATTTCATTTTAATTTTTAATTTGAGATCATATTTATAAAGAATGAGATCTAAGAAAAAAAGGAAACATGAGCTATTTTTTGTGTGCTTCAGCTGATCAGCTGCCATGGTGTGGCTGTTTCTGTTGTGAGTGACCGCGGCAGCAGAGCCAGACTAATAACAAGCAATTTCTCAGCAGGATCTGAAAATGCAGGACTGAGATGTCAGGGAGTTTTCAAGGTCTAAAGCTGAATAGACAGAAAGATGCAGCTACCCATCAAGCTAAATACAGGCCTCCAGCTCCAGGGAACTTCCAGGAAGCAGGTACTGATAGCTAGTTAAGGAACCAGCTGCATTTTATCAGCTGATTCTACTGAATTGCCTGTAGCAAGCTCCCTAGACATTTTTTCCAGACCCAAAGTAGTGTCAGCATATTCAGAGTTTAAAGGTAATAATAGTTTGTCATTCTCAACACAAACAACCACAGAATTTCTTCATTCACCCTTCATCTCCATAATCCTTCTTTAAATATGATCAGGAAACCTGTGCCTAATCCAGTCAAACCCACGCCAGTTTTATTGCAGGTGTAATGGACATTGGTAGGAGTCAGAAGCACACAAAGAAGTTTTAGCCAAAAAAAAATTAGGGATTTTGTCCTATTTTGAAATTAATTCTAGTAAAATAAAATAATAAATAACACATGGATTCAGGATATTCAGAGTCTTTTGCTTTGTCTAAAAAAAATCTTAATCCCTGCGAAAAAATCTTAATTCCAGTAAGTCATGGACTTTTATTGGCACTGTACCAGTGGTAGCTGTCTGATGTGCCAGTTCCAGTTGTTTTCCTGTTTCAAGAGGAGTGTGGAGCTTTTCCCAGTGTGGTAGCTGGCCTGAACATGGGACATCACTTTGTGCACGCCCTGTTCTCTAACGCTGAAGGGCTTAGATGGGACAATTTAAGGATTCAAGTCAACAACAAAAATTGTTTGCACAGATATGCCATGTTTGCAGTTTGCTTTTCCTGAATGGCTGCAGGCTGGCACACTTGGATGGATTTGTGAGTGTGCTGAAGTCTTTCTTCATTTTGCTTTGAAACTAAAATTGTGACAATTTTTCCAATTTTAAGAAAACAGTGAAACTATGGATACTGTACAAGTACTTTATAATTTGTAAATACATCTTATTTGGAAAAAAAAAAGCAAATTGTGCTGTATGGACCCAAAAGTAATTTTTTGGGGTAACTATACTCATTCTTACTTCACTGACTACTATTTTGAGTACATTAATTTCTGTAAGAGTTTTCTGAGTACTTTAAAACTGGTTTATGCACCAAATGAAATTGTTTAAAAGCTGTAGTAAAACAAGTGACACTAAAGGAGCTAAATTTTGTATCTGCTCTTTGCTTAAAAGAAAATTAAATATGAATTTTACAGGAGATGCAGAGAGTTGCTAACAGTCACTATTTCCTTGGAGTGTAGTTGTACCGACCCGATTAGGAAGCTGTATCAGCACCTTAAAAATGTACTGGTAGCACTTGGTTTTAACAACATATTTCAACATGAGCACAAAGACTACTTATCTTTTTTTTTTCCAAAGAGCTGCTCATGTGGATAACACAGACAAGAGTTGGTTCTCCACAGCTGTTTGAATGGTAGGAAGAGAATATATATTTTTCTATTCCATGCTTTGTAGAGACACAGGTGTAAACAATCCTGTTAATAATGTTAAGTTATATCTTTGAATAAATATAATTACTAACAATTAATATCAGTTCTTAAGAATCCTGGTTATGGTCAAACACTAATCAACCAAGCACGACAGTAAAAGAGCAGATAAATAGAAAAATGTCTTATGTATAGGCTTATATATATATATATGTGTATATATTTTATGTATGCATATATACATATGTATTTCTGTAGAAAATATAAATAAATAATAATAATAATGATATATATTTCTTTATTTAGTACAAATGAAAGGGTATATGGGTTTCTTCCAATATTTTTAACTTTACTGAAATAAGGGCAGAAGCTGAAGCTGATACAAGATGGGAATTTTTATATGGAAAACAGGACACTGTGGGAAAATGGGCCATTCCCTTGAACTATTGCACTCTGGTATACATTATTCAACGCTGACCTATCTTTATATATATCCTGGTAGAAAGAATTTTCTGGGTTTAGCCTACCCACCCCACAAAGTGTAGCTTAAATTCATTTTTATCATGTTTTGCTTGATCAGAAGTGCAAGAAACAGAATAACTAAGAACGCAGTTACAGAATTATGCAATAGTACAATAGAATCTGTTCTCCCTCCCGTTATTTTTTCATAATTTCTAAACCAAATAAAAGTCCAGCAGTTTTAAGATGTAGAAACTATGCAATGACACATTAGACCAGCCCTGAGATCATCTACTGCTCTGTTCAGAGGACAGTCTGAACTGAAGCAAGAGCTGCATAAACCCAGAAATATGAAGATGAAAGTCCTCAATACTTTTGATACAGAGCACTGTCCAGAGCTTTGATATTTTGATGCTGTCTGTCAGGTTACTCTCTCAAGGGCTTTCTCTTATGCATGTGCAAACAGAATTCAGGGGTGACTTTGTCATTGCTTATTCATTACATTCTTTTTTCTCTTCCAGTTCATTACAAGAGCAGCTCATCTGCCTTCTTTAAAGAATTAATTCTTGCAGGATTTTCCTCTAATCAGTAATCAGTCAAAGCCTTTCAACTCTCCACACAAATGCTGTCTATCACCTGTATTTATGGTGAAACCTGGTAAGAAAAAAGTCCTTATCCACAGGCAGAATGGTAGAGAATTCAGAAGTAAACTGTTGCGTTCTGCATCACTAATTCAACAAAATGATCACTCAGCCAGCACTGGAGTGGTGCTTGAGTACAAAAATCAAGATCTGCACCTCATTTCCAGCCAGCAGTTTGGTGCAGGCAATAGCAATGCAGTGTCAGCAAGGGGTATTGGAAGTAGAAGTTAATGACAAAGCATGAACTAGACTCAGTAAGGCTTTGAGATGCAAGTCTTAGAACAGAAAGTTTGACAAAGAGAAATGAAGGAATCCAAAAAAACCAAAATCATCTTCACAATTTTAAGGTAGGAAACAGAATTCCATACATATTGAGAGTCATTGTTAAAAAACAAACAAACAAACAAACAATTCCTATTCCTGCCTAAACCCAAAATATATGTAATCTTTCAATTACAGTTGGGGAAAAAACCCTAACTCACTTTGCAACACATTTGGTTTGTTATCAGAGGGGTCATTAGTTCATGAAAACACGGTCTGACCTCCATTATGACTATATTATTTTATTCTCCACAGAGTAATCTTACTGGTTTTAAGGTACTAAATTCTTTACAGACTTAAACAAATGAGCCTCCTTTAGGCTACATATAGTTACACATTCAAACACTACAGCAAAGGTTTTTCTCCCCACCTCACACCTGCTTTTTTATAGTAAAATTTCCATGGAGCAGATAGAAATATTTTGTAATTTAAAACTAAATAAAACTAATGATTTACAACACTTTCCTGGAATTCTTATTTCTACTATTCTTGTAAATTAAAAAGCCAGCTTTGCTTTGGTTAAAGCTAGAAGATATCTGCAATTGTGATAGTCTCCAAAAACACATGCTGACAATTTCAGACAAATTAAAACTTACATTTATCAAGTGAGCCATAGTCCTTATTGACCACACCAGCATTGCCTCAAAGGCTGAGGAGATGCTAAAGGTGTTGGCACGATTACAGGGAAAATATAGACCAAAGAGCCATTAGTTTGTGGTGTGGAAGGACAGTGAGCCTTCTAATTCCTTCACCTGCAGAAATAGAATAATACTTGAATGCAATCCAAGCACATGCTGCTAAAAGTACTTTCGTTGCTCATGAAAGCCAAAATATCACATGAAAATTAGCACCAACAAGGTCGGTAAGCAGACAGCACCAAGTCAGCCCAACTCTGCTTGACATTATTTTCAAGGAAAAAACCATTTCATTCTAGAGACAGTAAAAAGTTTTCTCAGAAATTGTCAGGGAACAGTTTTCCTCTGTCAGATCTCATATTATTCTGCATACATTTCTGGGCAGTTTAATGAAAACTTGATAGGTTAGGTCAATCTGTGGCTACCAGGAGTGACACCACAGGTGTGTCACTCCCACTCAAACTGTTAGTAATACAAATGCCTTCCTTAGATGGAAGGCAGGTGCTTGTGTCCAGGAGGAATTGCGAGTAAGTTTTTATTTCTGTGAAGTACAACCCGTGCCATGCCAAGGCTCAGTTTCTAACTGTATAAAAGGACTGCACAAAGGCTGCTGCTGAATTCTCCAGTAGGGAAAGAAAAAAACAAAGGGGGGGGGGGGGGCTGTGGATCAGACTCAGAGCAAAAGTGGTTCTTGCACTAGAAATTCTAAATGTGTAACTGGACAACAGTTCCTGCTAGAAATTTGAAGATGAATCAACAGCACTTGACATCTGTTGTGGTTGTTTGTGGTGGAACACGACAGGGCTTCAGGATTCCAGCACACCTTATTACAGCCGTGCAACTACTTTATACAGTTCTAGGTGACACCTGTACATGCACCATTGGTTTACTGCTAATATAAATAACTCACAATTGGACACAGAGCCACACATGTCTGAATACAAGAAGTCAGCATTCTTGACAGGAAACCCATTCTGTGTCACAGCCCTTTCTGTCCGTGGCTGACATCTTGCCAGGTGTAGACGTTCCATCTTCAGCATCTCAGCTTACAGAGAGCCCAGAACCAGCTGGGCTCCCCCACAGACATCCAACACCATCCCTGCCTTCCAGAGCCAGTGACCAACTGTCAGGTGAAATGCTTGTGGCCTCCAAAAGGCCATCCCAGACACTGCCAAGGCACAGGTACAAAGTACAGTCAAGGTTGTCAAGAGACTTTTAAAAAGGGCACAAACTGAGCAAAGAAAGTGCTGTGAATGTGCCAGCAGCGTAATCTGGTCAATCTATGGGTAAAAGGAGGCTGTGCAGATGATCAGGCACAACAGTAGGGAATTATGATCTAATTTCAGAGAATAGTTATAGCCTGACTTAAACAGCCAAAGGTCTCCTGTTCCAGACACTCCCTGGAAGGGAGTAAATGCCTCATTACTGGTGATGAGCTGCTGCTGGCTGGGACAAGCTCTGACTGCAACCCTCTCATAACTGTGAAATCCAGCAGCCTCAGCTATTTCAGTCATCAAATTACCTCATGAGTCTGCCTATAAGTTTCTTTTTGTCTTAGAAGGTATCCATGAATGTTCTAGTCCTGCGAAACCACCTGGTTCACAGATTCTTTGGTTACTGAAGTTCATAGCACTTAGTTTTGGTTTGTTTTCTAATTCATTTCAATAGAAGTGATGAAAAGAGCAGCAAACCCCACTGGTACCTCCTGGAGGTCTGTGGGACACGTTGCTGGGGCTTCTGTGACAAGGCTGTAGCCATCAGCTCTCCTCCATCCAAGGCCATGGCAGTCAGTCTCAGCATTCCTGCCATTTCCCTTAGCTCTGGTTCCCACAATCTCATTCTTATAATTTTAAACAGAACTCAAAAATTTTCTTCCAAAATATGAAGACTATTTTCTTTCCTAATGCCAAACCCCCAAACTTGTTCTTACAATCACTTCATCTATTTTTTCACATTATGAAGTCTTTCTACACATCGCTGAGTAATACAAATCACTGCTTTCTGACATTTTTGTCAACTGCTGAATACATTATTCATGAATTCATGAATTATCGCTGGTGAAC